TCTATTATTCTTGTTGTTAGATCTAAAATGCGGCGTGCCTGCGTGGTACGGAAGGACGTGATGGCCCATCAGACGTCACGCTTGGCACTATAAATTCCATCACAGTGAAACTTATGCCAAATGCCCAGTAGTGTGTGTATACTGTATCCTCCAGCCCTTCTGCTGGTGACTCGAAGGCTTCTGTAAGGCTTCTATGGCCAAATTATTGCAATTTACGCATTTCAAAGATTATTCGTGAATATGTGCGATGTTTTGGTGAAAACAGTGTTGATTTAAACGTCCGTAACTTTCCTATATGTTGATGGATTTTCATTCGGTTTTTTTTATCTGATTCATACGTTCTCTGGCTACAAGAATCCGTTGCTAACTCAAAATGCCCAAAAAACGGATAAGGTCCCTTTTCGCTTGTGCTGGCTCAATTAATTTTAAAGGCTTGAAAGTGATGACGTCAAAAACGGCCTGGGAGTAGTAAGTTGACATCAGATTTCTATTTTGGATCCGCTAAGGTGTGACTTTGCTATTGCCCCAGTATGTGGGTGCATAGCAACCCACTCATGTCGTATGCATGGGTGACTTTTACTTCGCCACCAGTTGTAACCCCGCCCCCAGTAGGGTCCAGCGGATAATGCTCCGAAAATGTTCGCATAATGCTAACCATAATGCTCCAAAAACTGCCTTATAATGCTGATTATAATGCTTCAGCAAGGGATATAATGCTCTTGGTTTGGGACAAAAATGGAAGAAAGTCTGCACATGGTCAAACTTCCAGGAAATTATGCATATCGTCGATACGCATCTGAAGCTGCCACCTTATCTCTCACGAGCTCCACCACTTTTTAGCACTATAAGACATGATCGCTTCTCCATTGATTGCTCTTCATTCCAACTTTGATGCATGATTGTGGCAGAATATTCGGTGTTTCAAATCTTCCCCCTAATTACCCATGTAGTGAGAGATGAAACCATTATTGCAGGAAGTCATTCATTGTTGGGATGAAGTTTATCTTGGCAAATAGTATTCCCGCCTGCAGACAAGCTGTCACTGCATCCACTCTGTGAATAATGCCTTCGTCTGAAACACCAGACGTGAGGCCAGCTCCTGAGATCCGATTTCAGATGGAGAGCCCTCCCATTTGCGGAAATCCTGAAAACACGTGGTCAGAAGTTATTTTGCCACTCTACATCCTTTGCTTGTGCTCTCATATTCTCCTTGAGATGGTGTGTAGACGTACATGTATGACTTGCCACAATACTCTTCCTTTCTGATAGCATTTGACTGTAGCCTAGTGTAGGCCTGGCATTACAACCGTCCACAACTAACTGTACGCGCTTCATCAGGAAAGTAAGACAGGCGCTGCTGAGCAATCGACTAGGTACTGAGTCCATGAGAAATTCTAGTTCTTTTCGAGCCACCTGAGCTGGACTCAGCAAAGGCAGTTCTTTTGGAACGAGCTCTTTCTGTTTATAGCCGCTCCTTCATCCTGGTCCAAATTTAGCAATGCATCAGTGTCTACTTCAGTATCGCTAGAGATGCTATCGCCAGAGCCTCTGGCACAACTAGAAAACTCTTCTTCGTCTGTTTGATATTCACTTCGCGTATGTCTCCTCCATACATGTAGCTCTCCATTATTCTAAAAGTAAAAGAAACCTCGTAAATAATTTCTCCGGATTTGTGTCACTTGAACTGCCTCAGCCTCGGTTGGGCATGCTTCATTTCAAGCCCTATGGGCTATAGGGCTTGAAAGTGCTACGTCACAGCAAAACAACAATTTCAAAAATTCAAAAACTGGATCCACTTGGATCCAGTTTTTGTATGGATCCAAGCACATTTCAAGCGGTCTTATAGTATGGGCTATAGCTATAGGGCTTGAAAGTGCTACGTCACAGCAAAACAACAATTTCAAAAATTCAAAAACTGGATCCACTTGGATCCAGTTTTTGTATGGATCCAAGCACATTTCAAGCGGTCTTACCCACAGCATGGTGATGTAGCCAGTGAAACTGACTGATTTGGCTACTGGGGGCGGGGTTACAACTGGTGGCGAAATAAAAGTCACACCTGCATGCGACATGAGTGGGTTGCTATGCACCCACATACTTAGGCAATAGCAAAGTCACACCTTAGTGGATCCAAAACTATAGTATAGGGCTTGAAAGTGATGACGTCAAAACGGCCAGGGAGTAGTAAGTTGACATCAGATTTCTATTT